TACAAATTTTACAAATTTGATAGTTTTACATGAGCATACTATCTTTAAACTATGTCTTACTGACCTCTTATACTTAACCCTTAACCTGCTGAATTTCTTACATGGACTTGTCCCCCTACTATATCTGGGACTGTCTATTATAAATTTTAGGGATATCAAGATGAAAATTTGAAATTCGTCTGCCAATAGTGTACAGACTGGAGTGAGATAGTAATTTCAACTGCATGAATGTGCAGGCTAGCCTGGCTATATACTGGTGCAGACTGGCCTGGCTATATACTGGTGACAAAGGCTTGTCAAATCCGGTTCCAACAAGTTTATAATGGCTTTCTTTTTGGTGGTGATACATCCATTAGTTCATACCAACTTCTAGATGGAAGATAACAAAGAATGTACCATAACATATACATCTATTATAAAGAACATTTTGTCATTACTCCTTGTTCTGTACATTGACACACATGTAATAATTTATGTTATAGGTTTTAAGTTTGATACAGGATTACTTTAAAACAAATTGTGCAGGATAATAATCTTGATCAGAACTTAGTGCAAAAGACAAAAAAAACAAGAACAGCTTTGTCCTAAAGTTAAAAACAATCACAGACAACCGGTCTCAACCTTGTTAAGAGTAGGAATATGAATTTAGATTTTGTACATGTGTGCTTGAGTATGTGTGGGGTGTGTGTGGGGGGGGGGGGGGGTTTGTAAGGCAACTTTTCAGCTTTTACTACATGAAGTAGAGGAGAACAACAGGACTCCTCTTGCATTATTTCAGGCACAAGCAGGCACAGAAACAGTGAGTAGCCAAATGTTTCAAGTCCACAACAAATATAATACTTATCCTTCAAAACAAAACTTAGACAATCTTCCTTGCTGTGATTTTTCTCATAACAAAAACTGAAGTGCTTTTCAAATCAAGGATCAACAAAGTCTGTACAATTCTCTCCATTGATAATCAATTAATTTGTCTGCTTCTTTGGTCATGCATATTTTCCTCAGGAAAATCTCTACTGTTGTCCAATCAGACAGTTTTGTTGGAAGCAATGCATTCTGGGATAGTGTAAGCCTGATTAATTTGTTTTAGATGGGGATGAAATATTTCCTGCTTATTTTCACATTAACTCCTATATGCACACTTAAATCTACTTTATCATTATTTCTGGATGAAATTGTACAAAACTGTTTATCCTTATTAAATCAATGTATACATAAAATGCAGAAACAAGAGCTGTCGGTAGGACAGCAACGCTCGACTATTCTTAGTGCTTGATAGTAAAAAAAATGCTTGATACAGTTACCTCCTCCTGTTTACAGGTTGGGGTCATGATGGTGAACAAGTGTGCAAAGTTTCAAAGCCATATGTCAATGGACTCTGAAAATATTTGAACTATTACAAAAACTTTAACGTAAATTCTAAGTCGAAAAAGGGGCATAATTCTGTCAAAATGCTTGATAGAGTTACCTCCTCCTGTCTACAGGTTGGGGTCATGATGGTGAACAAGTGTGCAAAGTTTCAAAGCCATATGTCAATGGACTTTGAAAATATTTGAACTATTACAAAAACTTTAACATAAGTGGTTACGCCGACGCCGACGCCGACGCTCGGGTGACTGCAATAGCTCTACTTATTCTTATCGAATAGTCGAGCTAAAAATGCAGAAAAAAAAACCCTCTACTGTTATTTGTATTAAACTGCGAAAGTTTTAATATTTTAATATCATTTCACAATTATCAACAGTCATAATACTAAGAATAAATTTGTTTGTTTGGGTTAAACGTCTCATCAACACAATATACTAGCTCACATGGCTATATTCCAGCTTTACCCGTGGAGGAAGACTTTTGGTGCCCTTCTGTGTATAATTTCAGGCACAAATGGTTTCCTGAGTGGAACCACCAATGTTCCTTAAGTTTATAGCTGGATAGTTTTCTCAAATGACGAATCTGAAGATGCTGGTGCAATGAGAGGCAAGTCACAGGTTTGACATCAAAGACCTTAACCATTTGGCCATGGACACCCCATCAGAATAAAATTAATGCTTAGTACCTTATAGAATATATGAAACATATTTAGAGGACTAAGGGAATAAATAACCTATTTCACCAAGTCACAGCAAACTTTTTGATATGAAACATCTATATTGTCATGATTGTTAAATTGGTAAAATCAACAGCTACAGACGTATGGTTATGCACCTAACACTTTCAATTAATTTAGAAGACAATGTTCTTGAGAATTAAATGCAATTGAAAACTGATAACGCAGGTTATTTACTCCGATAATGGTAGACTGACAATATAATTGAGCCGCGTCATAACAAAACCAACATAATGGGTTTGTGACCAGCATAGATCCAGACCAGCCTGTGCATCCACGCAGTCTGATCAGGATCCATTCTTTGCATTATCAGTTTCTCTACTTGTAATAGACTCGGATGCGCAGGCTGGTCTGGATCCATGCTGGTCGCAAACCATTATGTTGGTTTTGTCATGATGCGGCTCATATGTTATATTTTTGTTGGGTTTTTATATCACACGAGTTGGGAGGGAAACCTCAGGTGGTCCTGTGTCCATTATTTTAGTGGCACCTGAGAAGAACCACTGATCTTTTAAAAATTAGTTTGATAGCTTACCCACATTAAAGTATCCAAAGACACTGGGGAGGTTCAAACCCACAGTGGTGATTGATAAGTCATGTGATAACCTTAACCTTGCCTCAGAGTAATTATTTTGCATTGTATATTATTAGTTATACAAGGCGATATACAGGGTGGTATAACCAGAATTAGATAAATATGGCCTGAGAAGCTAGCATAGGTAGTGAACCATCTAAGATGCAGAAAGCATAGGCAATTTTGTGAGCATCTTCACAGTGTATAGAGATCTAACATAATATATAAAAGTTGTGAATATAACAAAATGTTGACCAGTCCTTTCTCTATAAACAGTCTGACTGACAGAATCAAATTATCTCAACAACTATACAATCTAACTTGAGAGCACGAAAAAAACACACAAAAGAAGACAAAACAAGAAAACTAATTTATTAATGTCACCATAGCTTCTGCTAATGAGCACATATTTTTAGCAGATGGAAAACCCAGTGGACTTCCCTGACAAACAAAGACATAATTTGGCAATTCTTCTTGACAAAAAAAAATGCACGGAACCAATCCAATGTTGGCATGAACGTCCCTGTATGACGTTAGTTCATGATGAAGTAAAGAATAACAAAAGCTGCTGGAGAAGCAGTGATCTCAGTACTGCACATTTTCTAAATGAAAATATGAGAATTATTGACCTTGACCAAAAGCTTAACGGTCATCAAATACCAATTAAAAGAGAAGGTAAGAAACGACGTATAAAATATATTACAATGTTAATAGTCGAGCTTAAAATGGCAGACTTCCAATCAAATCTCACCCTGTGCTGATTTTATTAAAATGTTATACAGATAATCAGTTGCAACACATTTTACTTCATTGACACAAATTCTAGCCCCTTTCTTTTGTAATATCACTATACAGACAATAGTGTAAAACTTTGTCAATTTTAATCTATTATCATCTGATTAATCAATACATTATTAATTATTGATAAGTTACATTACTGACTTAGTATAACAATTTATCTTATAAATGGAAGGTTAAACATTTCTTGGTAGCCTTTACCCACAACTATGTTTAAAAAATGTCTAAAAAAGGAGATAACCACTTGTTTTGAAAATTTAGTTTGGCAACATTTGTCTCCCTTATATGTTCTCCTGAAACTCTTCTTTATAATTGAGGACTACGATAAATAACTTAAGATACATTGTCACACTCAATATCTTTCTATACCAATACTTTAAGGTGTATATACCTCCAGATGTGTCAAAAATATTTCAAGAAAATCAACCTTAAGAAAAGTGTACAAAGATTTTAAGAAAAGTACACATTTTAACAATTCAAGAAATAACTTACATGTTACATATAATAAATGACTGATTTTGCAATATTTATCACCATATTTCTACTATGTAACAAACACAGTCAGGTTTTTTGCTATTTTGACATTTATTTGGTAATTTACATGGAATGAAAGTGTGCAATGTATAATATACTTTCTTTGTTCCATTGAAAATATTTTGCTTTTTAATTACACATTTTCAAAATGTTCATGAACATAAACATGAATCCGGAGGTATGCTGTTTTAACATACTGGAACCAGAAATGATTTACAAATTAGGTGCCAGGCCTGAGCCTGCACACATGTGCTGTCAGACAAGGCTCAAGGCATGTTTTTCCTTTCATAGTACAGTCTTAAAAGAGTGGCTTCCCTTTCATATTACCAAATATGGTCGCTGGACAAAATTATTAAAGAATTTAGGTTAAGGTAACAAGAGCTGTCGGTAGGACAGCAACGCTCGACTATTCTTAGTGCTTGATAGTAAAAAAAATGCTTGATAGAGTTACCTCCTCCTGTTTACAGGTTGGGGACAGATGGTGAACAAGTGTGCAAAGTTTCAAAGCCATATGTCAATGGACTTTGAAAATATTTGAACTATTACAAAAACTTTAACGTAAATTCTAAGTCGAAAAAGGGGCATAATTCTGTCAAAATGCTTGATAGAGTTACCACCTCCTGTTTACAGGTTGGGGTCATGATGGTGAACAAGTGTGCAAAGTTTCAAAGCCATATGTCAATGGACTTTGAAAATATTTGAACTATTACAAAAACTTTAACGTAAATTCTAAGTCGAAAAAGGGGCATAATTCTGTCAAAATGCTTGATAAAGTTACCTCCTCCTGTTTACAGGTTGGGGTCATGATGGTGAACAAGTTTGCAAAGTTTCAAAGCCATATGTCAATGGACTTTGAAAATATTTGAACTATTACAAAAACTTTAACATAAGTGGTTAAGCCGCATCCGACGCCGACGCTCGGGTGACTGCAATAGCTCTACTTATTCTTATCGAATAGTCGAGCTAAAAATTGTAATGAAAATTCTTGTAAATATGACTAAGATAGTTCAGGAGTATTCAAGAGTTCCTAAAGATGTCACCAAGATAGTTCAGGAGTATTCAAGAGTTCCTAAAGATGTCACCAAGATAGTTCAGGAGTATTCAAGAGTTCCTAAAGATGTCACCATGATAGTTCAGGAGTATTCAAGAGTTCCTAAAGATGTCACCAAGATAGTTCAGGAGTATTCAAGAGTTCCTTAAGATGTCACCAAGATAGTTCAGGAGTATTCAAGAGTTCCTAAAGATGTCACCAAGATAGTTCAGGAGTATTCAAGAGTTCCTAAAGATGTCACCAAGATAGTTCAGGAGTATTCAAGAGTTCCTAAAGATGTCACCAAGATAGTTCAGGAGTATTCAAGAGTTCCTAAAGATGTCACCAAGATAGTTCAGGAGTATTCAAGAGTTCCTAAAGATGTCACCATGATAGTTCAGGAGTATTCAAGAGTTCCTAAAGATGTCACCAAGATAGTTCAGGAGTATTCAAGAGTTCCTAAAGATGTCACCATGATAGTTCAGGAGTATTCAAGAGTTCCTTAAGATGTCAATCATTATTGATTGAATATAACATCAAAATTACAACAGCATAATTTCCAAAGATATTAAGTCAACAATGTAAAAGTTTTCATTTAATACAACTTTTGCTTGAAGTTAGTTCGGAAATAACTCTTTAGGGAATACAAAATGATACCTTGAATATATTTTTTAACATTTTTAATTTACTTTGCATTACAAAGTATGCCTGAAAAGAAAAAATAAACAGGACAATAAAGTATCTTACATCTCTTTTTGTAACTTAAAGAAATAGGAATGGATGGATTGATGTCTGTCTAATATAAATATTCATCATTTAAAAAGAGGTACCATGGCAGTTTTTCTGTTGACATCAACCCTATGAGTGAGAAATTCGTGTTTTAAGACACTATTTTTTTCTTGAGAAATAAGTTCATGGGCGCCGCCATTTTGGCGTTCTGTCATTCTCGCGAGACAGACGAGACCGAGATTGTGACGTGTTACACCCACTTCCGGTATAAGTGTACACGCTGGTACAACTGAAATATATCTTGATGAAGAACTTATTAATCTTATTGCGTATATTATATATTATTTATGAAAACATCATATGGAACTGAATTGCTTTAATTAATTAATTGAAGACGCCGCGACATTAATTATCATTTGTCCGATTTTCAAGCTTGCTGATGATCCCACCACATGATTTAAGCATTGACTGCTTAATTTTCAAAGATAAACCATCAATTTAATTTGGGTACTATGAGAAACTTCTTCAAATTGACGATATATCCTTTTATTTTGTACTTAATTTTCGCTAAACAAGCTGTCCGAATAAGGTATCGCCGGTCATGTATCTTTTTTTCAGCGTAAAATATCAACTAAAACCAATATGCGGAGATCTGCTGAGGACGCGATTTTCCGCCATTGACGCTAAAAATGAGAATGGCGCAGGAAAATCGGCAGCCAGACTAATATCGTATGAAAACAAAACTGTCAGTTAGGTTATTTAGGCACCCAGTCAAAACTGGTACCAACAGCAACAGGTTGCCCATTCCCCTGTAATTACGCATATTCTCGGGTTTATCCAGTTCCCTATAGCTTTTTTCCACGTTATCTACTTACCCAATCCCTTTCCCACACAGATACGCATTTCTACTACCGTAAATTTAATCTAATAAAAAATCATTAATCTATACTTAATATTTAAAATGATTATTGGTAACTGAAAAAAAAATGTGTTGCTATTTTATGAAATGCTGTAATTTACAGTATAATTTGACAGGTGTGGAACTTAATTTCCCCTAAGGTCATTCAGTACACTGATGAAGCGTAAATAAAATAGATGTCATTAGAATATTGGACAATGGTGATTAACCAATCAGGGCAACATTGTGCATGATCAAAAGGTCTGTCGGCACAGGGGCATACAAGGAGCAATAAAAATCGTCAGTACACAGTGTGACAGGAACATTTGGTGCAAATTAGGAACAATTAAAATGGACAATGCATAATATTAGACATAAGTAGTAAGAACCAGCAATTGTGTGAATAAATTATGCAAATTAGATTTTTGAGCAGCCAATAAAAATGTTTTGCCTGCAGTAAATATTAGGTTACGATTATGATGCGCGGCATCATACGTTGACAGACATGTTAACAATTTACTTTTCAAAAGGGTTGCTTATATTTTTGAAATGTGTACATCAATTATAACATATGTTCACACCTTTCAATTTGAAAGTCAGAATCAAACTGCAAAAATTTAATTACATGTACTATTAAGAACACGTTTTAGTAGGATTTTTATAATAATAATGATAATTATCGCCGTTCAATAATTAACAGCCAATTATTCCTTGGTGCTTTTGTTTATTTAATTGCATTATTTGATTGTGAACTTTGTTAAATGATAACATGTTTATTTATTAAATCTGTGAAATATTGTTTAATTACATCAAGATGAGACTTTAATGAACATAGCATTGTTTGGAGTAACGGGCATCACTGGCCTCAAGTGGTGCGACCGGTAGACGTTGATTTTTTATTTGTTTCTTTATTTTATTTTTATTTTTTTAGGATATTGTTACGTTTTTTGAACCATAAAAAAATCTCCTCTACACCTCCTGTGAAAATTAAATTGTCTGGTCAATACTTTATTATATTAATATTTCGCTACGATTCAACTAGATTTATCATAAATCTAAAGATGTGGGGAAATGACATCACGCGCACCTGTTTTTATACGGCCAATACACAAACATGGCCGCGCCTACTGATTTGTAGAAATCGGTGATTTAGCGATTTAAATTTTGTTATCATTCGTTTAATATTATTATTTGGCGGCAGAAAATTTGCAGAGTTATTATTTATAGTATTCTTTTTCTGAAATCAAGTTTTAATTCTAACCTTGTCTTTCCCTTTAAGAATTGGTAGCAAAATAGATACATGTTGTACTTTAAGCTAAATTTTCACCCTGTGTTATCACAAGATTTATTACCTGCCTCATGATCAGTGAAATATTCTGTAAGAAATGAGAAAGACAAATATGGTCCATTTGTAGAAAAATCTCTGCCTATATATTAATAACTGACATAGAAAGAATATAAAGAAAACTTACTTTCCGATGACGTCTTGGAGCTCGTACACATCATCAAACAATATCTCCTCCTCCGCCATACCTGAAAATTATAAAATACGCGTGTTAAATGTTTAAACTTTACATTTCTGATTACTTTATAATAATTATGATGATGATGATGACGATGACGACTATTTATAAAGGCAACACAGTTAGGCAAGCCCAATCTTCCCTATTTGAGCCTCTATCATAATATACATATTACATGTATATACAGTTACAACAAATTTATAAACAACAAAATATTTACAGATATACAGTGAACTAAAACAACCTATCATATTCTTTCCTTCACTAACATCATCAAAAGTATTAAATTTAGAACAACAGTATGCTCAGTGTGGATTTTGTATAACACATGGTTGAGACACATGATCATGCTAATTAAAATTTGCTTAAGAATAATCTGCGAGACCCTGCAGACAGAAAACTTTTGAGCACTGCTGATATTTATGTAAAGCCATCAATGTTGACTCCGATGAAATCTGTGGACAATCGCAGGGAAATGCAGTTGTTTATCAAGTCGGATGAATTTTATGGAACAAAAAGTTAATGAAACATGTGTTAAACTTTACAATAATTGGACAATAAAGAATTCATATGACCAGAATGATTCCTTTCCTTCATTTTATTTTCAGAATGTTTTTTTTTGTGGGGTGGCAATTTCAGAAGAGGCAAGCTATAAATAAACATTGTTTTTATAATATATCAACCTTTGTAGTGCTTATACTATCATTATAATTAATAAAAGATTAATAACTTGTACAATGTTAACATAAGCTACATAATTCCATTCAAGATCTGGTCACAACCATGTTTCTTCATATGACACCAGTACTGGTTGGTTCAAGGAAGCGGACTCGAAACTGATTAATATAAGTTGCAAGAACTTGTTTCGCAATCGAGCTTAAATAAATATGTTTAAAACCAATATCAAAGCATGCTGATAACAGAAATAATGGTACATGATATTAATTAAAATAAATATTTTCAACCAAAAATAGTCAGATTCCAATATCAAACTATACACAGAATGAAAAGAAATGTTCAATTGACTTATCAGTTAATCAATATCTGTTTACCCACTTACTGAGTGTTGCTTGGCACAACTGCTGTTGTCTCTGTCTATGTTTTGTGGGAACAGAACCTGTGCAATATACCTGTAGGAAGGGGAATTTAACCCTAACACTATGGCATGTTCCTTTGGGAGAGGGGGGGGGTCAATTTCAGTAAAATTTTGCTGCACATACATTTTGTACATTAAGTGACAATACTCATGCTGTTAACAATTACATACCAGTATTTTATTTTGCAAAACAAATTTCAACAAGCAAATTCGTTGAATTTATATCCCCCGCCGAGTACTGGTTTTTATTGACACAACAACTGAAAACATGAGGCTTTATTTATATATTAATCATGGCATAAACAGTAATATTCTTTGAACTTGATAAATATTCAGGGCAATAGCAGAGCCATAACTCTATTGTGTTAAATAGTAATATCTGGAAATGCCAATGAGATACAGTATGCATACTACATAACTAATCAAGGGCCATAAATCTGAGTTATAAGTATCTGACCGGAACAAGGCGACTATATGCACATCTCCTCTTAGTATCCCATAAAGTTTCATTGAATTCCAGCCAGTAGCACGGAAACGATTATTGCTCTGGTTGTATACTGCCTAAGTTATCAAGGGTCATAAGTTAAAATGTCTGACCCGATCAAGGCAACAATATGCGCATCTCCTCTTGGTATTAAAGGTTCCAATAAAGTTTCATTGAATTCCAGCCAGTAGTTGCAGAGAAGTAGCGAGGAAACTAATATTTTTCTATATGGATACTGCATAACTAATCAAGGGCCATAACTCTTAGTTAAAGTGTCTGACACCAACAAGGCAATGATATGCGTATCTTCTCTTGGTATTGAAGGTTCCCATAAAGTTTCATTGAATTCCAGCCAGTAGTTGCAGAGAAGTAGCGCCGTAAAGATTTTTGCTCTATATGCATACTGCATAACTAATCAATGGCCATAATTCTCAGTTTAAGTGTCTGACCGGAACAAGGTGACGATATGCGAATCTCCTCTTGGTATTGAAGGTTCCCATAAAGTTTCGTTGAATTCCAGCCAGTAGTTGCAGAGAAGTAGCGCGGAAACAATTTTTTCTCTATACTAATCAAGGGTCATAACTCTGAGTTAAAGTGTCTGACCGGAACAAGGCAACAATATGCACATCTCCTCTTGGTATTGAAGATTCCCATGAAGTTTCGTTGAATTCCAGCCAGTAGTTGCAGAGAACTAGCGCGGAAATGATTTTTACTCCATATGCATACTGCATAACTAATCAAGGGCCATAACTCTTAGTTAAAGGGTCTGACTGGAA